TTGAAGAGCCAACTTCTAATCTTACTTCTTTCTATTGTTTTTCTGTTTTATTTATTTTTGCTCTAATTGTTATTATTTCCTTTCTCCTGGGTACTGTAGGCTTTTTTAGTTGCTCTTTTTCTAATTGTTTCAGATGTTGGGTTAAGGTGTTGATTTTGGTTCTTTCTTCTTTTCAGATGTGTGCCTTTATTGTGCCTCTGAGTACTGCTTTTGCTGTGGTTTTAGTATGTTGTGCTTTTGCTTCTACAATTTTTTTTTTAATTTCACATTTTATTTCTTCTGTCACCCAGTAATTTTTGAGCATGGTGTTATTCTGTTTCCATGTATTTTATTTTTTTCCTGATCCTCCCACTAATTGATTTCTAATTTTATAGCACTGTGTTCCAAGAAGATGCATTGTAAGGTTTTGAATTTTTTTAAATTTACTGAGACTTGCTTTGTAGTCTAACATATGGTCTATTCTGGAGAAGGATGCATATGCACTGGAAAAAAATGTGTGTTGCATTTTTTTAGGTGGAGTGTTCTGTATGGCATAGTGCCTAAGGCATTTGACTGCTAACCAGAAGGCTGGTGGTTCAAACCCACCAGCTACTCCCCGGAAGGAGGGTTGAGCAGTCTACTTCCATAGTGATACTGCATCAGAAACCCAAGAAGGGGTCGCTATGAATCAGATCTGACTCCACAGCAGTGGTTGTATTTGCATTATGTTCTGTATAGATCTATAACATCAAGTCAGCTGATTATATTGTTGTGGTCTTTTGCATCTTTGTTGAGTTTCTTTCTAGTTGTTCTGTCATTCATTGAGAATAGTGTGTTAAAGTCTCCTAATTCTGTTGTAGAATTGCCCATTTCTCTTTTCACTTCTGTTTTATTTATTTATTTATTTATTTATTTATTTAGTATTTTTGGGCTCTTTCATTACATGCATAAGTATTTATCGTGGTTCTGTTCTCTTGCTGAATTAACCCTTTTATCATTATATAATGCCCTTCTTTGTCACTAATGCTAATTTTTGCCTTGAAGTCTATTTTATCAGAAGTTAATATTACCACTCCTGCTCTTTTTTGGTTCCCATTAGCATGATTTTTTTTTTTTTAACCTATCCTTTTATTTATTTATTTTTATCTTTGTTTTTAAGGTGAGTCTCTTGTAGGCAACATAGTGATGGGTCATTTTTTTTTTTTTAATCCATTTTGTCACTGTCTTTCTCTTGACTGCCACATTTAATCCATTCACATTCACTGTAGTTACTGATAGCTATGAATTTACTGCTATCATTGTTTTGTGTTTTTTATTGTGGTATTGTTTCTTTGTTCTGAATATTTTTTCTGTGCTGAGTTCATTTTGTTATCAGATTTTCTTTTCTTTTTATCCATTGTTGTTTATTGTGTTTCACTGCGGACTTATGATTTTTTTCTTTCTTCTTTTGGTTAGAAACCATATTGATTTCCTTTTGAAACAGTCTGTTCTATATTGATATTGTCCTGACTTCCTCTCTGTTTGGAAATATAGTTATACCATTTATTACCTCATTACACTTTTAAATTGTTGTCTTTTACAGATTGACAGCTGGGGTTCTCTATTTTCAGTCTTAGGAGTTTATGTTAATTTTGAGATTTCCTTTTTTTTTTTTTCTAAGGGTTTATCTTTATTATCTTTACCTCTTTTGCACCTCTCTGTGTTTGAGAATTCTTTTTTCGGGGTTGGTTTCTTTGTGAAGTTGTCCAGTGTCTTAATCTTAGGTGGTTGTCTACCATTTTTAGTTTTCTGTCCAAAGAACTCCCTTTATCATTTCTTGTACATTTTGTCTGGTTTTTACAAAATGGCCATACTTCTCTCTCCCCAGAAACTGCCCTCTTTCTATCTCTCTTTTCTTATCATTCAGTCTAATTATTTATCCTCTCATTTGATGCTCAGGGTCCCAGGATCATTATCTGTATCTCTTTCACTCAGTTTTTCCAGGTCTCTGGTATAGAGGGATTGGGTGGAATATGTCACTAGAACGTCATTTTTTTCTCTACCCCTGTTCATAACTTTTTAGTGTTTTAAATCTATTTTTAACCTGACTTATGAATTTAAGTGAGTAAATATTTGTAGAAGATATTCTGAGGAATCATTATTATAGTAATATTATTATAAACATAGGGTAAACAAATTGCTTATCATAAAATATTTTGTCGTAGTTTAACTAGAGTATTACTAATTAATAATTTTACATGAAAATACTACAGATGAGAAAGTGAGTTCACAATTTTTGTAAATTGAATTTCTTGTGGAATTCTATGAATATAGTTGGCACTTAATTCATTCACTATCTTATGTGATTATGAGAAAGAAATAGAACTAACCCTCCTCCAAAAAAAAAAAAAACCTAAAAAAACATATGTTTTAAAAACAAATGTTTTAGTTTCCTAAAACATTGCTTACCTTTTTAATTTATAATGTTTCTAAATGCTAACTGAATAAATTAGCATGCTACAAAGAATCTAGAGAAAATTGGTTTGACTATAAATGAAGTAAAATCTTAGGCAAAGTGTTATGGGTGAACAGCTGTTTTCAGGAGGATCCCTTTCCACAGATGTTAAACTACAGAATATTGTGTAACAGCATGAAAAAAAGATTTAGTAGAATCAGAATTATAGAACTGAAAGTGTTCTTATATAAAATCTTTCTGACTGAAGCTGAATATCCTATTTAAAACTTTAATAATCTATCAAGAAAGACTGTGAACCTAAAAGGTATTAAATGTAGTTCAGATAATTATCTGATTGTCAGTGTGTAGACCCGTTCAGAGAGACAAATTGTGAAATTATATGACCACTTAAAATTACTTTCACGTTTTATTGTTTTATGCTAGGTTATGAAAGTTATTTTGATTTAATAATCTAGATTTCAGATATCAAATCTAAAATTTATCTCAGTCTAAGAAATATTGCATCCTTTTGTCCAAAAAAAAAAAATGCCGTTTACTTGATTCCAACTCAAAGTGGCACTATAAGACAGACTAGAACTGACTGATAGGGTTTCCATGGCTGTAATATTTACAGGAGCAGTCTACCATATCCTTCTTCCATGGAGCAGCTGGTGAGTTTGAACTATGGACCTTTCAGTTACCAGCCAAGTACCTAACCACTGTGCCACCAGAGTTCCTTGAATTTAGGTATATAGTGCATATATGCTGTTTATTTTCACTGTTTAGTAGGTGCCTAGGGAAACTGTTACAGGGTGCTTTATTTGCATACTACTAGTTTACAATATATGTGGTTTGAACCATTACCATAATAAATCAAGTGTAAATTCTGCTGAAAATGGGAGATTTAGCAGAAGATATACTCTCAGTACCATTATGAAGTACTTTAACAAGCAGTATGTTTTCACCAACTTCACCAGTATGTATGTAGTTCATAAGCACTTTTCCTCTTGAGTGCTGTAATATGTAAATTGTGTTCAAATAATGGAAATCTGTCCTTTTTTATTATTCTCAAAAACAGATTGTACCAATAAAATAAGCCAAGTATATAAATTTTCATTAATATGCTAAACATTGTGTTTTCTTCATAGTCTCCCATCTGGTGTTGCATTCTTACCAGAGCCTTAGGATTCATGTTTCAAATCTCAAGGATTCCTTTTAGGGTTAACCCAACACAGAGACTTTTATGTATAGATTCTATTTTTCATACCCCTGTGTATGCATCACATTCTAGTTGTTGAAAAGTGAATAGACAGAGGCAATTCCTATTATCCTTGGTCTTATGCAACATAAATTTGTATTTTCAACAACTTAACTGCACTGTTTTTTCTCAGCTCCGTTTGCTGATTTCCTTCTCTTGCCACTACTATAAATAATCCTCAGCATGGACATCAAAGTGCCTGTCTTTCCAGCTCTCTGTTCTAGTAGAAAAGCCCCACTCCCAGTTACATGCTCAGGGAAGCAATGCTAGGCTTCTCTTTGTAAGATTGATTTGAGCAATGTTGACAGGCCAGCAACTCCTAGGATTAAGAGATACAAAGGGCCACCAATTTCATGTGATAGTATTTAACCACATTCAAACTAACTCACTCCAGGATTTGGGCAAGAAAATTTAGAGAGTGCTGGCCATAGCAAATGAAAGGACCACTTAACAGATACTATGAAAGAAGGGCAGTGTGAGTAGAACAAAATTCAAAATCTTAAAAAAAGAAAAAAAAGACCAAGTTTGCTGGTTGTATAGAACCTGGTGAGACCCCTGACACTATGGCCCCTACCTGCCCTTCAGGTCTGGAATTGAACTCACTCCTGTGGCTTCCAGCCAAATAATAGACAGGCATATGGGCTGAACATTTATATCAGGTAGGTACACTCCTTGGAGTGATCAATCGTGGGAGAACAGAAAGGAAGTGTTTACACAGAGAGACAGCATGGGAAGTGGGAGTGCACAGGAGGGAAGGACACAGAGAAGAGGAAACTATGAGGAGGAAGTGAGAAGAGAGCTGTAATGGAATTGTAGTTAATATCATGAGACAAAATGTGTATGAACTTCTGTGTGAGAAATGAATTTGCTCTGTAAACTTTAACCCAAATCACAATAAAAATTTTAAAGAAAATAGGGTAGTATGGGCCATGAGTAGTGAGAAGGAGGGAATGGATGGTTTTTGTTGTTGTTGTTGTTATGTGGTTTTAGCCCTGCCTAATTCCTGACACATTTAAAATTCCATTCCAAATCTTTCCTTAGGATAAACACCTCTCCTTACCTTTTAAATGTCACTTTAAATGAATGTCTGTTTGTTACCCAAGCATATAATGAACTCAAGTGTAGTTTTCTTGGTGAAAAATACTGAGCTGAAATTCAGGAAGATTAGGTTCTAACGTTTGGAAGGTCACCTATGAAGCTTCTAGCTCTAAATATGATTTATATATATATATAATGTAAATTACTAACTTTAATTTTATAATTTTTCCCATTTTTATTTTCTAATTCCCTTATTTCTAATAAGAAATCTGTTTATTTATTTATTTTTAGATGTTGAGAACATGTTCACTTCCAGATCTCTCAAAGCTGTTCAGAACACTGATGGATGTTCCCATTGTAGGAGATGTGCAACAAGACAATCTTGAAATCGATGAAATTGAAGATGAACACATTAAAGAAGGACCTTCTGATCCTGAAGACATGTGAGCACAATGTTATTAATAAATGCTGACACTGAAAGAATGTTTGAGTTTAAATATAAGTTCTAGAGATGGCGATTTACCTACACAGTTTTTAAAAATTATCTGTAGCTAATATTTTAGTACTCCTTTAGCCTCTTACAACTTATTTAAAGTACAGTCATGCAAATTGTGATAAGTATATTTGCCTCTGTATAATATAATAGCTTAATTTCACTTGAGGAATATGAGAAAATAGTTCGTATTTATCTTCTCTATCTTTGCTTATCACTGAGCCTTGAACACATTGTCTTGCATATGGTAGGCGCATAAAAAATGATTAAATGAATATTAGCAAGATGTTGTTAGTTGCCATCAAGTGGGTTGCCATGGTGACCTTATGTATAACAGAACAAAACATTGTTCAATCCATCTCCATAATCTTTGATATGTTTTAATCCATTGTTGAGGCTATTGTGTCAACCTGTCTCATTGAGAGTTTTCATTTTCACTGACGCCTCCACCTTACCAAAAATGGTGTCCTTTTCTAGCAGCTGATCTTTCCTGATACTACTGGTTTACAATATACATGATGTGGACCATTAAAATAATAAATAAGTGGAACATAAATTCTGCTGACAGAGATTCAGCAGAAGAAATTCAAGTGTTAGAGTGTCAGCAGAAGTGTCCAAAGTAAGCACATGAAGTCTCACCATTCTCGCATCTAAGCATTCTAGTTGTATTTCTTTTAAGACTAACTTGATTGTTCTTATGGAAGGTGCAGTGTAGTAAATTACTTTGGGTGGCTTTTCTACCCATAAGTCTTTGTGAACCCCAACGTGGGATTTGTTATGAGCAACTGAGGAGCTCTTGATTGCTGAAGGCGTCCACCTGGAGTATTTCTGTTGGGAGTGGCACAAAACAATGTTCTGGGAGGTGCCCACTCTATCTCAGGTGCTTAGAGTTCTGATGCTATGATTGGCTAATTTGGCCACTCTGCTGGGCTCAAAAGGAGGTCTCCTAGAGGCAGAACTCTATCTCTGACTGCTCGTGGAGGAAGACGTGCTGCTGAAAGAGACACACACCCCTGAAAGAGACACATGCTGCTGGGAAGGAGATGCAAGAGACACACATTGCTGAGTGAGACACCGAGGGACAAGCACTGCTGGGAAGGAGACTGTGAGAGACTGCTGGCTGAGGGACAGTGGGCTGGGAGAGAGACTGAGCGTTCTTCCTGACCTTGAGTTGTAGCCTGGTGCTTCCCTAATAAACCCCGTAATCTGTGAGTTCTGTGTGGCCACTGCAGCGAATTATCGAACCCAGGAGAGAGGTGGTGGGTGCTTTGGGAAGAACGGTTGGTGAAAGGGCTGGAGGGAGGCAGCATGTCTGGCCTTGCAGTAATAGGCCTTGGGTTACTGCTGGTAATCCTGCCTTTCCCTTGTAGGGTTAGAGGAGGTCGGAACATGTGGCCTCCTTGCCGTTTTAGCAGAAGGATAATGTTATTTCATAGTCAAACACTACATAATATTGGGATTGCAGTGGGAAACTGTGAAATGCTTACTACTCAACAAGACCCCACAAAAGTGGGCTGAAATTTCTATGGCTGTTTCCTGCAATGCATGATTTCAAAGCTGTGGCAGTGGGGGGTTAGCAGGTAGACCAGTTGTATGTGTGGGTGTGTGGGTGTGTGTTACATGTAACTTGATTATTTGCACAAAATTTATTTCTTTGTGATTCATGGGGAATCCAGAAGGAAAATTTAAATAGCAACACTTCTGAGAGTTATTGGGAATGATGCCCTCCTTGAGAGTAATCCTCCTCATGTTCTCTGACATCATGAGCCCTCTCAGCCCTTCAGGCAAAATTTACAAACTTTTGGGGAAATAATACTAGGGTACCCTGCAATAAACTATATGAGAAGGCACATTCTTTTTTAAGAAGACAAAATTGCGAGTCAAGAGAATATGCAAAAGAAGGGCCGCTAGATGGCGGACTAGGCAGAAGGACTGCACAGACCCTCTTCAACAAAGACAAGGGAAACCAATTGACACAGACACAGAAGATAATCTTGGACCCCTGAGCCTTGAAGGGAAGGATTAAACCCCAA